TCAACAGCAGAGTTCATATTTTTCTTTTTAAATATGAGATAATTTTTATGCAGAATGGCAAGGATGGTTGTAGTTATGATTGCAGACTAAGGTCACAAATTTTTCAAATATTTGTATCACAAATCGATTTTTGAAATGGACAAACGTTAATCAAAGCTCTCCATTAAATCTTATATAAAAGCTGTAAATATAACATATCTATCAGCTGAGCATTTATTATTCTACATTCCCAACGACGGTTTGCTAACTTAAATAAACATTAAAGCATTCATAAATTTTAATTTATCGTTATCGTTTGTATTTTACCTATCCAAATATTTTTTATCAAAATTTTGATAGAAAAAATTACCTTAAAACTTAAATTATTTAATCTTAATAGTATATTACTATACTACTACTATTACTATATATTTTATGTTGTATTTCAATAAATTAATCAAAAATAAAAATAATGATTCGAGCTCAATACTAATATCAGTCAATACAAAAAAGTAAACAGAGAAACAATTATGGAAATTAAATAAAAAATCAAATTTGATACTTAATTTTAAATAAAATAATGAATATTTAAATGTCTGTCTTAGGATATTCATCAAATTTAATTTTTAATTAAGGTATTCAATAAGTTAGCCTCACCACTAGTGGTTCACGATATTTTGATTTAACTAAGTAATCAAATGAAAGTTAATGTTTTACGGTCAAGCACATTGAGCCTATGTGTGTATTACATAAATTGCAGGGTATAGCTGTGTATGGTTGTTGCTTACAAATTATGGAGCCACGCCCACATCCTCAATGGGCCGCTCATTAAGCGTCTTTAGTGTGTTTATATAATATAAATTAGCTTAATTTGAAAACATTTTTTGATGCCAAAAGTTTGGCACTTGCACGAGACAAACAACACAAAGACAACGGCTGGGGTGTAAGTCTGAGGAGGGGGTATGGGGAATGGGAGTTGTATGGAAACAGATGCTAGCTTGCGCCTTGGCTTGGGCTAATTTATACGCCCGTTGGACATTCTCGAGTCGGCCAAAAAGTTGCCGCAAGTTTTACCAAGTCGGCGAGGCGCGTCTCCGATTCCTGTTGCGGGTTAATAAGACGACGACGGCGACTGCGGCGATGAAGATGGTGGCCAACAAATTGCCAACATTACTCTTGCCGTGGCAAGACGGCAGAAAAAGGAGGGAGGGTGCGTACAAGAAAGATGTCTGCAAATAGACTTTTGAGAGTTGTATACTTGGCTTGCCTGTTTTGTTGACTTTGCTAAGCAAGGAAAGACCACCCTGATCGGACTAAGAGGCGGTTGCGGGGGTCAACAGTCATTGAAAGTGTCAAAAGCGCAGGCAATTAATTTGGCCTAATTAGACATTTGGTTGAATGCCTTGCGGCTGAGAGTGCAATTTTTGTGGCTTGTCAAAGCCTTAGCCAAGTTGAAAAGTGGCCACGAACAATGGATTTCTGCATGTTGAGCGATTTATGGCTTACCAAGTTTATTAAGCTGGCCAAATTTACAAAAGATTTTGGTGACCAAGAACAAACTTGGCTCACTAAATTTAGTTTCTTAATTTATGATCTGCAAGTTCTTAATTCCCAAAATTTTATGAATTTCATGGGGAGCAGGATGCTCTTAAATCTATATATAGAAATTGTAGATATGAGAAAGTATCTTAAATATTAACAAACTTAAGACATTACATTTTAAACTATGATACTTAGTATGAAATAAAAAATCAAGCCACAAAAAATGTTCAATTCCGATCAAATATTTTTAATATTAATAAACCAAAAGATAAAAATATCTTTGTAAGTTAGTTTTATGAAGGAACGGATGATCTAAAAAAATATTGAAATCTTATGCTTAGAGAAACTAACATAAATATATATTTATGATGAATTTGTTTACTACGTCGTGTAGTAGTAATAAAAGCAGATTATTTGTTTGATAAAATGAATAATTTCAATATAAATTAAAATTACTTACTTGTCTAATGGTCTAAAGTAGGGTCATGCAATGCCAATATCTACATTGATCAATCGGCAATCAAATCGATTAGAGCGATATAAACAAAATCGATATCGGTAACAACTTATCGCAAATCTCTGGACGGCGTGGCAAAGCAGCATGTGATCAGACTGAAATGGATGCCATTGGATACCTGCAACAGATACAATAGAGTGATGTGAAACATCAGATGTAAAAACTGCTCAGCAGTAATCCAATCCTTAACCGGAAATTGGTTAGGCGTCATTCTTGCCAAGCGACTCTTTGCAGAAAGAAGAGAAAAAAGATGAATCTCCTGAACACTTTTTGCCAGGAAGAGATTAGGCGCCCTGGAAAGCCCCGTCTCTAACCGATATATTGCAGTTACCAAAATTCCAACTAAGATTGCGAAAGTCAACCGCAGCTGGCTGGACTCATTCTTACTTCAATCTCCCATCAGTGTCAAGGAATTGTGATGAATCCACTCAGGGTAGTCCATTGTGACTACGTCTGGCCTGTTTGTGTCGATCCTACGGTGGATAGACATCTTACCTAATTTAACTTATATAGGTTTGTTTTATACATTTCTTATGAATTTCAGATCGACAAATTAAATTGTGGGTGAGAATGAACCTTTTCAATAATTAAATACAATGAATCTAATTGTTTAAATTGAGATATTAATGTATGTGCCTCTCAACCGTTAAATGTAGTTTGTCACTAATAAAAAAGTAAAGAGGTAAGGAATCTTTTAACAATTCTATTCGTCTAAATATTATATACATATATATGGTTGGTTAGAATTTCCTGTCTATAAAGGCAGAGAATGAAAATTGCTTTTTTCTGCATGATAAAAAACTACAAATTAAAGTTGGAGTACTTATTATGAGGTATTCGATTTTGATGCTCGTAAGTAGTTTAAATAGATTGGCATTTAAAGATGTTCTTTATTTGACATTTGAATTCTGTGAATTTATCTTATATTTAACTCAGATTCAATCTGCATTTAAGACTTTCGTCGAATAACTTGAAGCCATTTATCATTTGAATTTTTGCCAAAAATAAACGTTTGAAATTTTTGCAAGCTTTTGATGCAACAATATGGCCACTGATAATTGTTGGCCAACTGCAATTGCTGTTTAGACCAAGTCTGCAGTCGCTCATAACGTTGTGAAGAGTTCCTAGCTATATTTGTGTGTGCCAGGCCATAATTTGCTTAGCAACTTTTGGCAAATGCCGCTTCGTTTTGGCACTTGGCCAATTCTTTTGCTGCCGTTCGACACTCGCCGCTTATATAATAATTTTGTGGCATAATTTATGGAAGGCAAAAGTTTTCTGTGGCTGCCCAGCCGCACAATTGCCACTATAATGTCGTCCTAGCCATTTAGCATTTTGCTAGGGCGGCCACATGCCAAAAATGTTGTCGGCCTGGCCAAAACTATTCACCATAACCCCATAAATTTGTTATTAAATGTTGGTCCGCTTATCGAAAGGACATGAAAACTGGACCACCTCTTAACTGGGTGCCATAACAAACGTCAAATTGATTTTAAATTGCAGTTTTTGGTACTTTCAAAAAAATGAAAAAATACATAAAATACATTATACTCTCGTTCGAGAAGGAAAACGGAATCAACACTGTACACTCTTTTTTTCAGCATCAATGTTTAAATATAAGCATATTTCAGTTAAATATAATTATTAAATATGTGAATGCAGCAATTATTTTTGTAAACTCTCTTAAACCAATGACCTTGGAATAATTGGATCATAAAATAATATATATGTTTGAAACGTATTTCAAGTGAAGTGATCAGGTGTAAAATAATTATCAATATCGGATAACAAACAATAAGTTTATGTAAATGCACGTGTGAGAAAGGGACGGAATGATAAGCGAGCCTAAACATGTTTTTGTATATATTCTGCAGCGCCACACCTAAGTCTGTATATGTCGTACATACACGGGTTAGGGCTTAGGGTATCTGGTAGTCAAGTACTACTACCTGTTCCAGTACAGCATTCTTAACTAGCTTGTGAAATATTTCTGGGTCGGCCAAAGATATTCTTTTCTGAGAAAATTAGTTCAAATCGGAAATCATGTTGCTTGAATGGTTTTGGTATCAAGCAAAGGTATAAATAGTATCTTAGAACAGTGAAAATATGTGGAGAGTCAATAAACTTCTGACTAACTTTGAAAATAATCATTTCCTGACAAATAAGTAAAACAACGTAAATACAAGTCAGCTGATTGCAGCATTCTCAGTTGAAAACCGAAGAGTTGCTGTCTGTTTATTTAAAATATTTTTATATTTTTATTTGAATTTGCATATGCATTAGCAGATGAAGCAATCCAATCCAACGGCGCACTTCAGTGCATTGCCAAATACGGGGGAACACACAATTCTCGTTCTACGCACACACACACACATACTAACACACTGCTCATATTGCGAAATTGTCTACAACAGCGATCCGCAAGCAAGCAAACAATTGAATAAAAAGATAATAATGATTATTTCGCGTACTGAGTGGCAGAGTGGGAGGAAGAGAGTCTGCTAGCGCAGCTATCTACAAATTTTGAGTCACAGCTACAAATCTCAAAGACGAGGAACAGCAGAGAGAGCGAGAGCGTAACTTGTTTGTCATTAACAAAAAAGGAAAAACACAAAAAAAAAACTTTAACTTTAAGCAGAAACTTGTCATGTGAGAAAGATTAAACAGCAACAAAACGTAAAGCAAAAACACAATAATGAATGAGCTTCAAGAGAAAAAAGAGCGCGTGAGAGACAGAGCGAGAGAGAGAGAGAGAGAGAGACAAAGACTAAGCGGCCAACAGGTGAGCGCAGGGAAAAGCTAAAAATAACAGCGAGACGCTCGCTCAACGTAACGGGTGAGAACGAACCACACAGCAGCAAAACAATAAAAGGGCTTTAGTGCTGAGCGCAAGCTGAGCGTAGCACGCCTTTGAGCCAAGCTAAGCTGCGCTTTTTTTCTGTGTGTTTTGGGTGTGCCGCGCGCAGTGTGACGAGAACGCGTGAGCGGCCAACACGTAAGCAACGCGTTGTGCGGTGCGCTAAAGCTGAAATCAGTTTAAAAATACACAAGCAACAGCAGCAACAGCAGCAGCAACTCAAGTGTGAATTGTAATTATTGAGGTTATGTAAGCGGCAAAAACGAACTACGCAAGTAGTATAACAAAAAGCGCAAAAGCAAAACGACGTCGTCGCTTCCAAACGCTGCCAAAACACGTTCCAAGTTCGATTTCGACAACAATTCCAGGCACGTGTCAGCCTCGCACATTCCAATAGAGAGAGAGAGAGAGAGAGCGAGAGCGAGAGCGAGAAAAACACGAACAACGAAATGGATCACGAGGGCAAAGCGCAGACGTCGACGCATCCGCTGCAGGATGTGCCGTTGAATGAGAGCAATGAGAGTGATTTGGACGCACAACAGACGCCAAAAAATTGGGTTAAATTCGACGATGAGGCAACAGGCAGCAGCAGTGAAAAAAATAATAACAGTAACAGTAACAGTGGCGACAGCAACGCCACACAGCAAACGAATCAACAACAACAAGAAAAACAACAGCAGCAAAACAAGTTAGCGCTGCCGCCACCGCCGCCGTCAGTAGTGAGCAGCAACAACAAGAGACGCGCGCGCTCGCGCAGTCCCAATGACCAGTCCACAGCAGCAGCAGCAGTAGTTCCAGCACCTGTGCAGGTTAGTGGCTCTCTCGTTCTCTCTTTCTCTACTTATGCTCTCACGTACCGTTTTCGTATGAACCAACGCAACGCATTCCAATACATCGCCTTAAGTGCGTGCGCGCTCTGTTTCTTTTTGTGTTTCCATCTCTTACTGTTGCCTTATCGGTGCATTGCTTTGCCCTTGTTTGTGTTTCCCCTGCCTAATGGAGTTGTTGGCAACAGCGCGTTACTTGCCTCTGCTGCTGCTTCGCCTTACCATACCTTTTGATTGTTATTTCTTTTGTCACGTTGCACGCATGACAAATGAAGTAAGGTTTGTAAATGCCGCCTGCAACATTTGCGTTGATTACTCATCGACTGGAAGGAGACACGTCATTGCTGCACATTGTCTGTGCATAGGGTTTGTCCGATTGTTTCAAGTTTTATAACTTTAACTGAGAGAATATTTGAAATTGACAATTGTTGCGATTACACATTTCTGCACATTACTGTGTACTGTACACCTGTAAAAATAATAGCAACATTTGTATTTTGCAAATTGAATTAACGAAGTTACAACTTGCTACAAATTGGTATTCTATTTTCTACTAAGCCCAACGCAGTTTGTGAATTTGATCATTTAATTATGCAGCAGAGTTCTGATCATCTAACTGACAATGAAAGTGCATTCACTGCTGGCAAATAGATTGTAGATATATATTTTTTTGTATGTATACATTTCGTATGCAATTTAATAAAATATTTTTTTTAATTTTTTTTCCGTAATCACAAATTTGTGTTAAAATATTCGTGTCGCATAATAAAAAAAAGAACTGTGATGATCTTTTAATTGTAGTCGGATATATGTAAAGCTTTTGTGTTCGTTCCATTCAACAAATAAACATCATGTGCAGATGGTTATCAATAAATTCCGACTAGATAGCAGGTGTATGAAAAAGTTTATTTGTTGCACATGAATATGTGTTTAAAAATATCTTGAAAACCTTTCTCGCTTATTGGCTTTCATCACTTCAGCTGTCTTCCACGCTTCGGCTTGCTGTTCTGTTCTTTGTACCCTTTCCATATCAGCGGAAAGTGAGATAAAAATAACAAACAGAATTTCTTCATCGCGAGCAGCATTTGTTTAAATATTTCGCCAGCCTTTTTTATTATGATTATAATAAAGTCAATATTTATTTGTTGCCTTCAGCTCATTAGACAAGCTTAGTTATCAAAATAAACCCAGATACTGGCTTTTAGCGCTGACATTGACATAAAGTACGAAAAAAATAAAAATAAAAACATAAGCAGAACAAGAAAACCTTCTAGTCGAGATGATTAGAATCTATTTTTATTTGATGAATATTTTTATTGCTTTGGATACATTTTTAATAGTTAAATATATGCTTCATTTTATATCCCCTAATTTTTCAATAGGAGCAAATTTGAGTAAATATAACAATATATAATTTTTTGGCATGTCAATTAGCAATTTCAATTTGCATGTGAGTAGTTGCCCGATATAAAAGGAAAAGGGTATATCCGTTATCCCATGTTAAATCTGAAATATCTACGATCGTCAGTGTACGTTACTATTAAGAATGTTATTAAAAAAATATTAATGAAAAAAAAATTTTTATAGAGTCAAATATATTCAAACTAAAAAAACATGGTATATCCTTTGATATATATATATATATATTTAAAAAAAAGAAAGCTTCATAAAAAATGAATCATTGGAATGTAACAAAATATTAAACATCGTAGTATATGTTCCGATGTTGAGTTATTAAATATATATAAAAACATATATTTTTTATTAAAATTAACTAACCTTAACATATATGCGGGGCGTATTAAAAGCAATATTAAATTTCTGGACCTCCAAAAAAAAAAGAGTATAGTTTTGGCTAAGCCACCTTGAAATTATATAGTTATGGCAGCAATAAAAATTTTATAGCACGCTATAATTCAATTATATCAACTATTTGCATACCTTCTTAAAGCCGTAGTACGCAACTCCATATTCATTGATTCAGGTGTTCAGGTTCAATTTGAGAAATCGTTGTCATTTCAGTTGCAAGTCTCGACTGTTACTCAATCTGTAATTTTCTTATGATTCCCTCTGCGTTGTCAAAGGCAAATCAATAGTATTGATTTTGTGGCGTACATTTTTATAATTCTTTCATTGTTCTTTAACCTTTTGCGCTTTGAGGTAAGGTCAAGGAACAATTTATCTCCTAAATGGTTGTTTGCACTTATTTTGCAGCGTGCAACTGTTTCCTCAACAATAGCTGCCACATCGTTGCCGGATGTGACGCCGGCTGTTTTGACAACTGAGAGCACCCACGTTAATCTGCATGCATCCGGCAGTGGCAGCAATATCAACAGCAATGGCAACAGCAACAGCGGCGCAAGTCCGCCACGCCACCAACAGCATCTAGTAAACCAAAAAGCCAATGCAGCCTCTGCCTCAACAACATCGGCTTCGTCCTCAACAGCTGCCGCAGCAGGAGCGGCGACTACTCATCCCAACGGCAGCGGCACTTCCACCACCACCACGAACAACAATAACAACAGCAATAAAAGCATCTCAATTCCAGTGGATCAGGCCTCTGGGATGCGCACAATTGAATTGTCAACGGGCCGCATACGTGAAGGTTTTGGTAAGTATACACCAACACCGGACAAGCACGGTTCACAAAAGAGTCGGACAGCGTTCTTTCCTTTTGGTTCTTAAAAATTCGTAAGCTTCGATTAAAGTTGCCAAAATGAAAGCCGATAAAACTTAAAAATCATTCATCATCCTTAATTACCGTAAATTAGGTTAGGTTAGACGATTGTTGGCAGTAAAGTCAACTCACTTAGGCCAGAATTTGCCCAGAATTTGCCCTCCTCAATTTTCCTGATACTTGGTGGAATCAACAATATCAGAAGTGGATCCAAGTAGATGCGTTAATAAATTTCACAATTTTGATTGTTCTTAACTTTGCTAACTGAGAAAGGATTATTATCTCATATTATATATATATTTATAGGTATATATATTTATATATATATATGCGTTACCCGATCTACTGTTTGACCACCTAAAGTACTATAGTTTAAGTATAAATATATAGATAATGCTTACTATGGGTTCATTATTGAGTATTTTCTTAAGAATTTTTGATAAATATTAAATATATAAATAAATATAAATGTTTATTTTTAGCTAAAAGTTAATATTTTTTCAGCTTTGTCTAAAGCTTTGACCCAAAATTGTACTCAATGTGAAGATTCATTTTAAGCAATCAGATACCACAATTGAACTTAATTATATTAATATCGCTTATGCATTTCGCAATTATCAACAGCTAATGGCGATGTTATTGTGACACTGCTGCCTTGCAACACGAAATGGCCTTGGATCACTCCGGCCATATTTCGACCGGAGCTGGTGCCCGAGGAGCTAATGGCTCAGGGCTTGACGGTAGGCGTTGAGTCAATTAATCACTTTGTTCTTGCTATCTTTGAACTTTGAACTAATGCTAGTCTCCTTTCTGCTTAACTCAGCTCACTGTGGAGGACTATGTGAATGCAATGGAGACGCTGGTCAATGACTATCGGTTCACCGTGTACAATATTTGCTATAAGCGCATCCTCGTCTGTTGGATTCTGTTTGCATTTGCCGTTTTGCTGGCATTGCTCTTCTCTGGCCTGCAGGGCGTGGCACTGTTTGCATTGGGTGTGGGCTGGCTTTTCCTCAATGCGGCGGCCATATTTCTGTGCATGTGGCTGAAGTTGCGACTGTCGCGCGGCCTGGAGAAGTGTCTGGCGCGTGTGAATAGGCAACTGATGCGCCACAAGATTCTACTCGTTTTGGACGATCGTGGTCGCATCTCCTGTCACAAGGTCAGCTTGTGTTTCATGTACTTCGATGCCACACAGTGTGTGAGCTTTTTGAATGAGTTCCTCGAGCACACCGAACAGAATGGTGGCGAGGCCATCAAGGCCGGCTGGGAGGCCAAGCTGGATATTGATGTGAATGATATTGTCATACAGGGCAGCCAGCCGGTGCGTCTGTCCCGCAAGCAGGTGAGAAGCGAGCCATCAGCTTACATCTATCACATAACTGATGCACTGCTTTGTTTAAACTTTTAAATGCTCACTGAAAAACGTGTATTTGTCGTTGAATTTTCTAGTTGCTCATCACACTCGCTTTTTCGATACTCTCTCTATATCACCCTCCTTTCTCTTGCGTGCTTTCGCCATCTCTGTCATGCATCATGCTCACACATTCTCTTTTTTTACTCTCACGCACAAAAATGATCACAACTCGTGTTTAGGCCGTTGCCCAGGAGCTGTTTCTCAGCTATCTGCAACGCTGGGGCAAGGACTTTTTGCGCCGCCGCCTCGACTGGACCGTACAGGAGGCGGGAGTCCATGAGACGCCACGACATCTGCAGTCCTCCATTTGCCCGTGCCAGTATGAGGAGGAGCTGTTTCGTAACAAAATCAAAGTCAGCCTGCAACATCGCCAATGCTGTGGCATCAATTGCATGGGCTGTTGGCTATAGGCTCTAGGCTACTCTAGACTGATGCTGTGACAGATTGACTTTAATAAAACAACGACTTAATCGAGTTGTTTCCATTTATTATTTTCTTTTGCTCCTTTCTTTGTAATCTTACCTGTATTTTTTTTACTTGATTTTTGTGTCTGTGCATTTGTAAATTGTAAAATTAAATACTGTTAAAAACCAATCAGAACAATTTTTAATTTATACAAGTTTAGTTTATAGTAATTTCTTTTCGTAGTTTATTATTGTTAATAATTGATTCAGCCTAAAAGTATGCTGCATATTTTTTGTTTACGCTTATACACTTTGCTCATACGCACTGTTTAACCAGCACACTCTAATTTTCATATCATTTATATCAACCTGTGACTATCTACCACTTGTTACCCATTAACTTATAGTAATTAATAATTTACTGTATATGTATCTCCAACTTAGGAGCGCGGCCTGCAACTGTTTCTGCGCTACGGCTCCCGTTGGGGCATGGAGGCATTGCGTGGCTTGGTCGATGTGACGCCCTTGGAGCCGGGCCGGCATTGTGGGCAATTTCAATGTCCTTGCCAGTACATTAAGGATCATTTGCAGTGCAAACCACGAGGCAAGTTCAAGTGTTGCAATTTTGTGCATTGGGTGTTGGCATGTGAGCGCTACGATTACTAAACAAATATCTATCCATAAATATTATTTATATCGACATGTGTACATACTAAGCATGCTATAAATATATGTGCTGAACTGTAACTAAATGAATTTTGGCCAATACAGGCTCTTTAGCTAATTATTATCAAGACAGCCGCCTTTGTTGTATTTCATTATTGATTCTTCAAAATTTGCTTTTTATTCCCAAATATCAAAAAATACCATCTTTGTTGCTCTTTAAAATATACACAGAAAAAAGGAACTATAAATTTTATTTCGTTTCAGATGTTAGCCCATAGTCAAGGTAATAATATTGGTACTTTTTGATATTGTGTCTTAACTCGTTCGACTTTACTTCACATAAACTTTACAATTCATTTAATATTTATACAAAATAACCCTTCAATTGGTTAATCTAAATATTTCTTTCAAAATTATATTTCTTTTTATGGCAATCCTCAACACAAACTACCTACTCTAAAACAGTTACCATAAACAGCGTAGGCCAGGTAGTTTGGGCACATTATTCTCCTTTCGGTGGCTAATAAATATACAAAACATTTAACTCGTGGAATTTAAGAAAGATAAACTCTTTTAATACTTAGCTATTTTGATATTATACAATTATAATGTAGTACTTTTTATTTTCACTGAATTTAAACGTTTTGGGCAATACAATTCGTTTTGTTTATTTTGTCTATTGTGAACTTTATCTTTATGCGTTTATTCTGGGATAATTCTAAATAAATATTTGATTAATGTTCATGTAATTGTTGTTGTTGTTGTTCTTGTTCTTGTTGTTCTTTTACTATGTTTCATTTTCTTTACATGTTTTATTATTTCTATTTTGGGTGTTTTGCAACGAACGCCTTTTACAGGTTATCCATGTGCTTGCATTGTCTATGGTTCGGATCCCAGTTTTCAATATCGTTACTAGTTCCGTTTATATATACATCATACCTGTGTTTGTACACTGATCAAATTGGCCTATCATCATTTGGCCGACCACATAGCAACATCAGAATTATTTAATATATGTGTTAGAATTGTGCAATTTAGTTTTCTTGTATTCAAACGTGTTTATTTTTACTGTCAAATAAAATATATATTCTCTTATGTTCTTATATGGATTATTTAGAGCAGACAACATGTTGTTTCTAGCTAAGTTCATAATATTTAAAGGTAAAAGAGTACTTTGTATATTTAAACGAATTTTCAGAAACGAATTCTTCGAATTTCGAATTTTTAAGAAACAAATATTATATTTTATCATCGAAGGTATAATTGTATATTGGTTTTGCAAAATATCCTTCATGCCGTCTGTCCGCCTGTCCTAAATATCTTTATAGGTCATGGTCACTCCCACCCCAACAATTCTTAAAAGTCTATATTTCCAGCAAATTTAGATCTAAATTTACCAAGCTTGGAAGCTAGATTTCTAGTATTTCAACAGTGGTAAGACAAAATTCTTGGCTACGCCCATCTACTCTCGACAACTAACAGATAATTTTGCCGTCAGTTACGGTAAAACTGTAATGTTTTACTTCTATTTCTTTTTTAGTTCAAGTTTTAATATGCATTTTCAAGAATACTCCGCTTATAGGCAAAGGCAAGATTAGGAACTGATTTCGTTCATTTGGCCAAACCACAACTGTGCAATGCTGCACAGTTTGGATAAAAGCTGTGTGCTCTCTGAAAATGACAGTTCGGATTCTTGGGTCAGCATCGGAATGTCGGAGTAGTATTATATAAAGTATGTACCCTTTGCACAGTTCTCACATTTTACCACCATTAATGCATTATTTTTACTGCATAATTCAACTTAATGTTTGCCGCATTTAAGCCACGTTCATGATGGTAACAATTTGTGAACAAGTGTTGGTTGTGTTGCAATTGTTTTTGTTGTTACTGTTGCGACGTTGCCTCATTTTAGGTTGCATGTGTAATGAGTCATTAACATGGTGCAGAGAACTTTTCATAAATAAAATACTTTAATTTCGTTTTATTATTATTTTGTATTCATATTAGGTGCCAGGCGGTTTTATTTATGTTGATTTTGCAACACCACAAAAAAATAAAAAATATGGCCATAGCCCGTAAATACAAAAATATTATGAAGTGCTTGTGTCTTTCAGCGGTGAGTAATTGCTGACCTATTATGTAAAAATATAAACACAGATGAGAATCTATAAACAATTTTAGCGGATGCGCAGTAGAAATTATTAAATTTGTTTTGAAATAAAAATAATTAAAATGTAAACATGTTTATTATGAATTGTTAGGATATTATTTAATGGTTTTTCTTAACTCTTATATCAACTGTTTTAGAATATCGTAATATATGTTTTAAATGCATATATATATATTTTCGAATATTATTTTAACTAAATGATATAAATGAAAACTTATTTAAGACTTAACTTTAATATTATATAAACACGTAAATGTTGAAATATCAATTTAAATATGTAACTTTTTATTCCACTTTGCCCAACATTTCGTACATTCACATTTTCTACATTTCGCGGTTTCATTATGAGTCTCGTTTGTCTTTAACATGCGGGTGCCAAAACTATGATTATGATGATGAAATGATTAATTATACTGTTAATTAAAGAATGAGGCGAGCAATAACCAGTTTTCTGCAAACAACCCATTAAATAAGAAACCAGTCAAAAAAGATTTTATTTAAATTTTGCCTTTATCATTAAATTATAATAAATTATTAACAAAATAAATTAAATAATCTGTCTTGATATATTAGCTGTTTGTTATATTGATATTGTCATACTTTTCATTCCATCGATACGAAATTTGAAAAATCATCGCAAAATACAAGAATTACTTTTGGCGAATATCTAAAGCTCGCAAAATATTCTTCGAATGTATAGAATGTTCTCATCTATAAAAAAGTAATGAATGTTCGGGAATAACAGCACTTAATCAACTTTCAGCAAATAAAAGAATATTAAATTCAAGCGAAAGACTATCAACATATAGTTTAGAAAGTGGAATCTTTAGGTCTTTAACATTCTCATAAACTAGAGACAGAGAGGGGCTTAGTTATTTAGTGCAACATTAGAAGGAGTAGCATTCGCCGTCTAATAGGAAGCCAAATACGTTTTTTATTTGTATACTCCTCTATTGCTTTCGGCCAGAAAGTGGCACAACAACTTGTGCAAAATACTTCAGACGGAACACTTATTTTACAAGAGGAAATTGCTCTTTATTATTAAATTAGAGTTTTTCTGCAGCTTTACCAAAATATGACAATTTAGCCTGTATATAGGCTTTATTATCGTCCACAGAGATATCAGGTGCTAGACGCGAAACAAATATCTGTTTTCTAAGTGCAACTAGAGCCACCACTATTGATTGCAGGTGGTGCGGGAGAAATAAACTGCTTTAACTGCTGACTATTACCAATAGCAATAGGGCGATAACCGAAGGGGAGCAAATAATTTTGGATCTCGAGGCAAAGTATGCTCAGTAGATCGCTTCTGCTTAATTGTTCTACAGTATTAAATCGAGACACAAATACATCAAAATCAGCACTGAGCGTCTGAAAACCAGACGAAGATCGTGGAAGCCCCGTCTAGTTTGCCTCATAAACACACCTCATTAACCCCTACTTATTGCCGATCACATCATTTACCTGTTGCGTGAAACCGGAACATTTTACATGTACTACGTCGTCACACAACCAAGAAGTGATAAAATCGGATTTCGGGTCAGCCTGGCACTTGCAGCTTTTTAAATAGCAGGCAGACATCTTTAATGAAAAAACTAATATGCACGATAAGTAGAGAGCTATACAAAGTCTTGGCACTGTACGGGGAAAATAAAGAAACTAAACACACACACAGCAATGTGACATAAGAATCAACAATCTAAGCTTCGGCGCACAGTTGCGAGAGCACTGAAAAATTTAAATAGCGAGAGTAAAAGTAACAGCAATACACCGCGATCGAGCGTGCAATGTATGTATGTTTATTACAGCGATCACCGGAACCATATGTATGTATGTATAAAGATTTTTATTATTTGTTAATCAAAAAACTACTGACAAAAAACCCAGATAACCAAAGTTTTTGCAGAAAAATGAGCAAGAATACAAGCACAGGCACACAAGAAAATTATTATAATTTATTAATCAATTAAATTATACGATATAAAATCAAGCATTATGTTAAACAAACTAAAAAGAGCACAGCAAAGGCTTAGACGCGAATTGTTGAGAGTGGAAACAGGATACTAATTCATGACAAGGAGCAGATGACTCGCTTTACCGATGTTAACACAATAAACAAGTTTCGTTCTGTATTTGTTGCTCTAACAATTTCCAAAATGCGATTTTACGCTCTAATAAAATAAATTCCAACTTTGCACCATTAAATGTTGTTAAACTTCATTAAGCTTGGGCAAAGCTTGAAACGATTTGTTTACAAACTGCACTTCAAATAGCGAGGCACAAAGAAACAACAAAAAATGGACTAGAAAACGCTGCACACCACAAAAAAAAAACAAGTGAATCTCGACACCAATACCACGGCATGTAAACTAATCAAAAACAAACACAAACATCCACATACATACTTACACGCGCTAACACACATTGACTGCCAAGCTGAAGGCTCATCAAAGTTTTGGCGAAATTCGATTGAATTGTGCGATTTTCATTTGAATTACATGCAAAAGCAAAATGGTAAAAATTAATTTAACCCAAAAATTCAAGTACAAGTAATTTGATTTTTTACCAACTAAATTCAATTCGTTTGTATTTGCCTAAGACCATTGATGAACACTGCAAACCCATTGTTAAAGAGCAAAAGGATATGAGCAAAAATGGAAAAGGATATGAGAAATGTGAAATGTGAAATTAAGCAATATATACATTAGATTGAGTATTTATTGAAATGAATAAATCAAACGTGCTCGAATTTGCGAAAATGGAAAAGATTTCCGTTTACATTCTCTAAGTGGACCTCCAATTTGGGAATACGGAATAGTTTTCCTTTTTGAAAGCGCACACCTGTAAATATTTTTTTATAATTGATTTAAGTTCTGACCTATTATTTATTATATTATTATTTGTGATAAATAGAGTATGCACTGTTCGTTGTGCTTCGTGTTAATTTGATAACTTTTGCCCCCTTTTTTGGAGCAGTATTATTTTGTCTGTAGCTGTTGTCGACGCCGTCGACGCCATTTTTGCATTTATTTTGCGGCTAAAACTTTAATTGAGTTTTAAACCATTTTGCTGGCATGGCTTATACTACATGTGTTTATTTGTATATGTGTGTGTATTTTTGTGCAAAAAAACATGCATTGTTTGATGGGATCTGTTGTTGCTGCCGCTCCAGCTGCACTTATGCCGTGCGCAGCGCTTGAGTGATGAGGTTTTGTGCGAATTGGTTTTGGCTCACTTTTTTCCCAGGGGATTCTCTGAAGAGTCGGGCGTATCCGAATTGCCTGCACTTGAGAAATTAGCAATGTGTTTTGTTTCACGCCCAAATTGCTAAAAAAAATTGTGTATTATGTTTGCAAGTGTGTGTGCTTATGTGGCTGCTCGTTGAGCTTAACTATTCGACTGTTGCTGCTGCTGCTTCTGAGCGCTTACAGGTAACGCATACGCCCCGTGAGCCAAACAAATTACAGCCATTTAAGTGATTTTCTCTAATGTTATTTGGGGCGTTGCTGCAAAAAGTTGCATACTAAGCGCATTTCGGCGCATTTGTTGTTTATTACTGGCAACAGGGCGGGTG